GGAACTATAAGTCTAATAGACTATTTTGATATAGATAAAAATAAATGTTCAAAGCAATTTGTAAATTTTGAAAAATAAAAAGTAGAGGAACATCTAGCACAAATTTTTTTTTTACATTTTACATTACATTTGCATTTCTTTATTTTACACTTATATCTTTGCATAGTTTGGATAAGTCAAATAATTGCTCGCCTAAATTATAAATAGATACTAAATGCAGGGAGATCCTGATAAAAAACAGTTCAAAAAATGTTTAAAGGTTTCAGATATGTTAATATAATATGTTAAGTCTGTAAATGCACTTTTGTTAATGAAGTAATTATACTTTTGCATACAATATAGAAACACAAAAGTATAAAAAAATTATTTATCAAAACAATTGCCATCGGCCGATGGTTGCCAAGATTGATGCTGATGCATCAGCTAAATGGTTGATGCATCGGTAGGCTGATGCTGATGCCAATGGATTTGTGCAATTAACAACATGTCTAATTTTATAAAGCATCTTTGACAAAGGCGGCTTATTTGCAAAAACTATAAAATTTGTTTCGAAGAGAATAACAATGGCTGCAAAAAGAACCTATATCGATTCAACTTGTAATGGATAACAAGAATAATCAACTAACTGCTTCCATTGATAAAGATAACTCTGCTATTATCCAACTGCATTATCTGGCAGACCCCAGGTGAATTTTAATACTTCAAGTAGTCAAACAGAAAAATGAAGATTAGTTGCATCTTTTTCATCTTCAGAATTTTTGTTTGCATCAGATTGTAGTTTGTGACAAGATGGTAAAGAAAAAGAAGCTAAAGTTGTTTTACAATTATCTGAATAAATGAGTTTTAGTTTAGAAAAATTTTTTAAACCAAACCTTTTATATTATTATATACAAAAATAAGGTTTAAGCTTAAGGTTCTTTTTTATTTGGATTATATAGTAGATTTGTGAAATATAAAATAGAGCGCTGGAGAATAAAGAACTGCATGAGAGCCTAGGAACTGCATAAAAAAATACCTGTAATTAGTAACTGGGTGTTTAATCAATGTTTCAAGAAACTTAGTCACTATGCAAAATAAACCATTGCCAGACATTTCAGGTATCACTATCAACTAAATAAAAAAAATCATAGTACTACTACATTTGTAGTATAAAAATACTCAATGTGGTTATGGTAATTTATAGGAGTAAATTGATAAAGTTATTACTTTTATCTAGTTTATATTTATTATGGTTAATAAAATATGTGGTTGCTAAGCAATTTAGGTATACATAGCAACCCAAAAATAAAACTAATGTTACGATTGAAACCGCAATCCTTAAATTAGTAAACTGTGTAAAAATGGTCCATAAATATTTATTATATGATGAGTTATTTGTTTTGTCCAGTAAAAGTGAATTCTGGCCCACTGTAGGTAGGTAGGAAAATTTTCCTTTCAACTTTTACTTAATACTTTTGTGCATTAAGCAATTACGAGTACCACCTTTTTTTCATTTTCATTTTTCAGTTTTTTTTCTGCTTAAGAAAAGTCCACTCTCTAATTTTTTAAAAAAACTCAAACTAAACTATTCAGGATCACATTTAAAAATGGATCGCATTTTTGTAATTAAACTCACCCCAGTAAAATTTTAATAAAGGTCAAAATTACAGATGTTTTTTTTTTTTTTTTAAATTTTAACTTGCTTTATTGGATTCCTTGCCTCAAAACATGTAAGTGTACATATTTCAACTAACCATTGCACATTGTTGGTTCAAGGCAAAGTTTAAATATCTTTGACTATTCTATTTATTATCTTCTATTATTTATATTGTGCATTAAGTCTCTCTAATAATTTAAAACATGAATAATTTACCTGAAAATATTAAATAAAAAAAAACATCATTACCACAAAATTGTTTCAACCTATCCTATAGAAATACTCATAACCTTCAAAACTTTTTATTATGAAATTAGGTTTAAATTTTCTGACTATTCTTTTATCTGCTTTTGCAACCTGTTTCTTATTAAATTGAGCTCTTTTACATTACCACACAGTTTTCATTTCCCCACAGTTTTGAATTTTTTTTTTATAACTCTTTTAATTGCTCTCTAAACTATATTAAATCTTAATTAAATCTTGTTAGCCTGCTGAAAAATGGAATTTATGTTTCCAATGTTTTCAAGGAGATTTATGCTTCCAATTAATTTTAGGAGATTGCTCTGACCCCCAACCTTTTAACTATTTATAGTAAAGTCTTTGAATCTTTAATTCTTTCTAAAAATCAATATGGATATCCATCATCTTATTCTATTGCTGACTTATTTACCAATTAAATTAAGTTTACTGACGTATCAATCAAATAAATTAAATTAACTGACTTATTAACCAATTAAATTAACTTATTAACAGTAGAAAAATATTATACAGTAATATGTTCCATATACTTTTTTTCTCTAGGTGGAAGTGGTGAGACAAAGGATTATCACTTTTGACATATTAGATTTTCAATTAAGTCATGCTGTACTTTAATGGCATGCTGGTCTTCTCTATAAACTTGCTTCAAATAATGCATTTAAAAAGGTTTTTAAATTATTAAAATCATATTCCACTGTACTTAAGTTGTCCTTGATAAACAATACTTTCCTTCTGGGGTACTACAAAGTTCTATCTTTGGTCCCACCAAAAAATTATTCCAAAAATATTATAAAAAATTAAAGTTAGAAGAAATAAATATTCAAATAACATGTTTAACTCTATACTGGTCTGAGTAATTAAAATGTCATGAAAGCATTACATAACATTTTAATTACTTTCATATTTTAAATTATAATTCAATGATTTTCTGATTACTTAAGAAAAGCATATTTTTAGGTATGAATTTTATTTTGGAGTGCTAATTAGTAGCTTTTCAAATTCTAAAATTTTAAAAACACATTACACTGCACAAAATAAAAAATGTAAAAGCATTAGAAACTTACAAACATCAACAATACTGATAAAATATTCAAACACTAGATAATGTTCTATAATTATAAGAAATGTAATGAGATTAGTTGAGGTAACAATAATGATTTTTTTAATAACTATTTTACTTAAAAGTATTTTTAAATAGTTAAAAGAGGTATGGAGTTTAGTACGCGTATATATATATATATATATATATATATATATATATATATATATATATATATATATATATATATATATATACATATATATATATATATATATATATATATATATATATATGTATATATATATATATATATATATATATATATATATATATATATATATATATATATATATATATATATATATATATATATATGTAGATATATAGATATAGATATACAGATATAGATAGATAGATAGATAGACAGATAAATAACTATAATTGATTCGTCTAACTAAACTAACTTGCCTAACTACTATCCCATTAGTTATATATATATACATTCCTATCATAAGCAAGGTTTTTAAATCTTTAATTAACAAACACTTAATCTTGAATCTTGAATCTAATAATTTATTTTCTGATCACCAATATAGATTTTGATCTTCTCGTTCTACAGCTAATTTGCTAACAGTAATAACTGATACGCTTTATTGTGCATTAGATAAAGGTGGAGAGGTTAAGGCAATTGATCTTGACATTTCTAAAGCTTTCGATAAAGTTTGGCATGCTGGTCTTCTTCATAAGCATTCTTCTTATGGTGTATCTGTTAACATCTTTAATCATTGAATCCTTCCTTTCCGATCATAGTATAAAACTTGTGGATAGCACTCTTCTTTATTTTCTGTAACTTTAGAGATTCCTCAAGGTTCAATCCTCAGCCCTATACTCTTTTTAATTTACATTAACGATCTTCCAGATATTCTCACATCCAAGATGGCATTGTTCGCTGATGATACTAACATTTATTCGTGTCATGATAGAAAGCCAACTCTCTCTGATTGCTTGGAGGGGGAATTTGAGCTTGAAAAAGATCTCACTTCTGCTACAACATGGGGCTCACAGTGGCTGGTGAACTTTAAATCAAATAAAACTCAATTTTTTTCAGCCAATCATTATTGCATTAATTTAGATCTTCCTATATTTATGAACAGTAATGCACTCGATGAGTCATCTACCCTTCATCTTCTAGAATTAACTCTTACTTCTTCTAAGGCTGCATCTCTTTATCAAGCTCAACACTTTCTAACTCCGGATTCTATTCTCTATCTCTATAAATCTCAAACCAGGCATTGTATGAAATACTGTTGCTTTATCTGGAGCGGGTCTTCTAATGATGCCCTTTCTTTTTTAGATAAGGTGCAAAAATGCATTGTAAACATAGTTGGACCTGCTCTTGCAGTTAAACCTCCAAACATTATCACATCGTCATAATGTTGCTTCTCTTTTTCTTTTCTAAAAATACTATAATGGGCACTGCTCTAAAGAGCTAGCGTTTATTGTGGCATCTACTAAAATTCATTCTCGCATTACTCGTTATTTAATTAAGTCTCTTTTTCTGTGACTGTTCCAAGTACTCCAAAACTTATTACATCAATTACCAATTAAGGTTTTTATATTATTTTTACGATATGTAATTAAAAACGATTAATACACTTAAAAATTAGCAAATAAAAAAAATTTCTGCTAAACAACCATTACTATAAACCAGACTAAAAATTAAAACTCTCAATACTACCCTAAAAAAATAAATGGTGATGCATAAGATATTATAAAATTTTTAATGGAATAGATAGGGGCATAATTTGAAAAAACTTGGAAAGTAAAGTCTTACAGTTATTATACATATTAGCTAGTTTCTTTCAATAAACTCATATGAGTTTATTGAAAGAAACTAGCTAATCTAATCTATACTAACAAACACTGCTTATAAAAGGTTTATCGGTTATTTATCTGTAAAATTAGCAGTTGAAGACAGCAAAATAATAATAAACTGATAATATTAATATATTTTTATAATTATTTAATTCAAAATTTATCTTAATTAAAAATATACTTGCTTACGCTCCTTGTCTCCATGACAAAACTTTGTTTTTGTAACAGGCTATTTCAAAACGTTTGCCAAACTTCTTTTGACGAACTATGGCAACATTTGTTAAACGAATTTGATTGGTAGGTGTAAATATAGAAGCCATTCTAATTGTTTATTGTAATAAAGTAAAAGAATAACTTTTTTATTTATAAAACAAACTTAAATTTTGAGTTTTTATAAATCAGTCTTGATAGCTAAAAAAAAAAAGAAAATTAAAATATATATTTATTAACATTATTTAATAATTAGTTTTAGAATAACCTAACCTATGCTAACAATGAAGACAATATTCTTACTATGGAATACATTTTTTAACTTAATGAGGCATGTCATTTAAAAACACTTAAACATCAAATTTTCTAATTTTTATTTTGAAACATCAAATTTTCTAATTTTTATTTTGAAATGAAATTACACAAAAATGTGGGAGCTTATTAGTTATTTATATAATGGTTATATATAATTCATCTATAATTATTACATATAACCATGGTATAGTTCATCATAGCATTATATTAATTTTCAAGTATTATACTATTGCCATATTACTATACATATTTCATAGTATTATAATTTATTTTAAAGTAATAATTAGTGTTAATAAAAGTAATTTGATAGTATTACAATTTCTTTTAGTAATAATAAACACGCTCTATATTTAAATGAAATTAGTGAGTATTAAATATAGCTATTACATTTGAATGCACAGAGCCTATATAATTGAATTGGGCATTGATTTTTTTTTTTTTTTTTGAGGGTGTAGAGTTTTAATAAAATTTTTGAAACCTTAAAGTATTAGTAGGTAAGCATTTATATATATTGGCTGAGTATATTTTTTATTTGATTTATTACTCTGAAAAAGTGACCCACCAAAGTAAACACATTTTCTTAAATTATGTGGTATAAGGGTTGACCTATTTTAAACTATTTTATACCTATTTATCAAATACATAAAATAAAAAATTAGAATAAATATACACTAAAAGTCATCTCTGAAAACAATGACATACACAAATACAATAAATTGTAAAAACAATATATTGGTAATTTAATGTTTCATTCAAACCAATGCAAATTTATCATTTTGAAAACATACTTTTCAAATATTTATATTTTTTTGATGTAATTAAATAATTTAAATAAGATTTTAATTTTTAGAATGTTATATAAACAATCAAAATATTTATTAAGCAAAAACAAGAAAAATTGAACATGGAATTTAGAAAAAAAAATTCAAAATGTTTTTAGAATTTCTTGAGGCAGTATTGACAAATTAAACAGATTTAAAAGAATGTCATCTAAAACTACAGCAATTAAAAGATTCAAATCAACTCAAAATTAATAATATTTTTTAAAAACGTATAATCAAAATAATTTACTTAAAATCACACAAACTTAGTGTGAATATGGGCTTTATGTGACTAAGCCCATAAAAAGTTTTTAACTATTATTAGCAAAGTCTTTGAACATTTGAAATAGGCAATCTTATAATCACAATAAATATTTAAGAAAATTAAAAAAATCTGACTATGATTGACAAAACTACTTTATACTTAATTGTTTGATTTTACTGATTTGAACAAGTGAAGAAAAAAAATTCTAATATGCAGGTTGAAACACAAAGAAGAGCAGCTTGTTTTAATTAAATAACTGTTGCAACAAAATATCATCTATCAAAGAGATTCAGAAACTATAAAAGATACTGATACTAATACTGATTCGGATACCTTGACATTTGAGACTAATGGGGGTAAATGTTTCAACACGTTAATATCTGATACTAACTTTAGAAAAAGAAGGTAGAGGAAGACGGGGAACATTCGACCATGGGGAACGTTCGACCTTTTTGAATATTTCTCAGCATGATTAAAATAACCACTTAAAATTTTTATGCATATTTTGTCTTTTAATGAATTATCGTGGGAAATAAGTATCGATCCATCTTTATTAGTATTAGTACTTATACAGAAGAAAATCTAATTATTGATATAAAAGGTAATTCTTATTTGTTTTAAATAATCCGCAGAGAATCTCTTTTCCAATTTCAAGCTCCTAAAATTTTTGTTTGTTTATTATTTAATGATATTTTGAGTTAAAAACCTTCAGTTTAGTTTGCTTCAAAAAATTTATTTCGGCTTTTAACAGCGTTTGTTTATATATAACATGCGGGATTAAGATTTCTTGGGGCCCGGAGCTATTTTTGTTTTTTGAGGCCTTTTTATGGGCCAGAGCCTAAAAATGACTAAAAAAAAAAGGGTTCTCTTAAATTTTTGAGGACCTCTAAATTTGCGGGGCCCGGGGTTATAGCCCCCCCTCCCTTGATCGGCACTGGACCTAACTAGTTGGGAAAATACCACGATTATTCATTTCTCTTATCTTTTAGATGCCTCGAAAATATGAAGCGAAAACAGATAGAAATAGAAAAAATGAAAATATGGTAAAGGAAACAATTATTAGTATTTTCAATAATTCACTGTCTGAATGACAAGCCGCAAAAAGATTTCATGCCCAGATATGTCACAAATAGAACCTTTCTGGGAGAACCAAGTGAAAGTCTAGAAGTAATAGGTACACCATTACAAAATAATTTACCACCCTTATCTACCAATGAAACGCATTCCTCCTGCAACTACTAGAATAACTCTAACAATTAAACCTGATTTCAGAACATGTGCGCCCCTCAAAGCTCCTCAAAGACAAAACAAATAGAGAGGACACCAAGCCAACGATATATGCTGACACCCCTGAAAAGGAAAAGATTGAGAAACTTCATTTGGAAAATATTTTTTAAAAAAGGGAAAGTTATCAATCTGAAAAAAAAAAGAATTTAGGTATAAAATAGTTTAAAAAGACGGAAAGAACGACATTGTTATTTTTATTTCGATATAATTTCGCAAATCCTGTTGTAAAATAGCAATTACTATTTGTTTTTATATATTTTTTTAAAAAGTTTTTAGTTGTGCAATAAAACATTTAAAATATAGAAATCTTATAGATTTGTTATTTTGTTTATAATGATAAGGTCGAAAGTACCCCTCTAGATGGTTGAAACTACCCCAGTGGTGGGGTACATTCGACCACTTTGAGACTTACATTTAAAACAGTGGTAGATTTAACAAAAATCAATATTTTATATACATTACCTTTTTAATTTGATGGTTTAAAACCATTACTTGTAATGCTAAAAAAATGTAATTGTTTCTGGCAAAAAATCAGTTGTAAGTTTATAAAAACCAGCTAATTGGTCGAATGTTTCCCGTCTTCCCCTATTGCAAAACTTTACCAGCTGCAATATTATCAGCTGCAAAGTTATTAAGAAAGTAGCTGCAGAGTGTCATTTATTTGTTAAAGATATCGGATTAGATGTAAACACAATTAATCAGTCATCAATATACAAAGCAAATTAATCAGTCATCAATATACAAAGAAAAACTTAAAAATATCATATCAAAAAAATTTTTAAGTTAGAGGTTCTAAAATATACCACTAAGGATATAAAATTTAGCGGTTCTTTTCTTAAAAGATTGTTAGGCAGAAACTATTTGTAATGGATGGGTGGATTTTATTTTTAGGGTGGAGAGATGATGAAAAACTGCTCTACAATCTATGCAAAGCATAACTTTTTTTGATAAGAAAATAGATATTTTCCTAAAAAATTAATTTTCCTAATACATTACCATTTCTTCATCATGCAAGATATAAGACATTTTTAAGTTAATTTTTTGTTAGCTTATCTAGAGAAAAACTTAAAGTAAATTGTCATTTTGGTAGTGGCAATATGAAAATATGAAAGTGGTAGTATGAAATAATATAGGTCATATGTGTTGTGAAAAATTCAACACTCTAATACATGTTTATATAAACATATATTAGAGTGTTGAATTTTTTACAACATATATGACAATAATAAATATAATTATATTTATATAATCATATTATATATAGTTATAATTATATTTAATATAACTATATTTATTACTGTTTCTTTAAAGTAAATTTGGCGCTGCGTTCAAGAAGTTAAATGGGGTATTGCACGTGCATGTATTTAACCTTTTAAGAACCTTTCAAATAGATGTTAATTACCGCTTAATATTTTTCAAGGAATTCAAAGAATTTTTTAAAATTTTGCTTTACAACCAAAATTGTATACATATAAGTTTCTCTTGTAATAAGCCACTGATGTTGATAGTTTTGGAAATGTTTTTTCTAAATCAAAACTAAACACGTATATTTCGTCTGAAGCTCTAATCGAAGTTTAGCCATACTATTACGGGCAATCTCTGCATTTTGCAAGTACATTTTTTTTCTTCATCTATTTTAGATTGTTTTTTTATTACCAAATAATCACATTTTGCACAAGTATCTTTTGAAGGTTGCTTAAAATGTAAGTTAAAATTTGCTCTTCATTACATAGTTCGACATACATGTTATACATTTTTGCAATAGAAAGGTCTGAATTTAAGTATCTGCGATTATGAACTCTTGTATAATGGCTTGAAATAGCAGGAAAGGAACTTATATGTTTTCTCACATGGGAATCATCTATTTTGTTACCTGGAATATGTTGCTTCCGGTGGTCCTTCACATCTTCCTTTAAACAGCAATTATATAGTTGCCCATTACTTATTTGATATGTTTCTATAAAATAATTTTTGCAAACATCAACATCTTGGCCGTTAAGTCTAATAAAATATTCAAGATCTTGGTCCTTTGGTGTTATTTCTGGGTCGTTGTCTTTTGATAGCATGAACTTAAAAAAATATTTTGCTTATGATGATCATTAAGCTTGTAAACATTTTTCATCGCCTGTTTTCTTTGATAAAAGGTTATCTTGCGGTTACAAAGTCGTAAACAGTTACAAGGTTTATTATCAAACCTCTTGTAGGAATTATTCTTTTATTTCTATTTTGATATTGTTTACCTTGTATCCTTTTTTATTTCTCAACATTTCTAGATCATTTTCCAGGAATCCTGCTGCGTTTTCAACAACTTTCCCGTTATTTTAATTATTTTCTATATCTTCGTTATCTGACGATATATCAGAATCAATACGAGTTAACTCTCCTTGAAATAGGATGAAATATTGGATCACTTTCACTGTTTTCTATTTTTATCGACGTCTTAGTCCGCTGGATTAACTAAAAAAATCACCCCATCCTAGAATAAAATACTATAAAGCTAAAACTTTGAACAAGCAAACATAAACAAAATATAC